AATAATGACATAGAAACCACTAAAATTCAGCAACAACTCATTTTATTGAAATAAAATAAACATTTTAGATATCTTTAAAATGTCATCCTCAGGTTTAAGTATAGAACAGAATATAAAATGGAAAATAGAATACAGTTTGAAAATTAAAGAACATTACCTGACTGGATATAACATAATACATCATATACATATGAGAAAGAATTTTAAAGTACAATATAATAAAAAAAAATTCTATAATCCCAAATTTTTATCTAACTTATGGTAAAAAACAAAAATTGATGCCATTTATCTCAAACTTACAGTATAATTGCAGCAGCTGCTATTATCTTTAATAGTTAAAATTAAAATAATGAATTTTCTATAAAAGAATCTTTAATATTTGAATTTAAATTNATACAGATAAAACTGTTTCTTTATAAAATAAAGTAAATAAAGACACTGTGGCCAGTTGACTTTTCTCCTAGTGTCTACAAACAAGAAAAGAATAACATAAAACATGAAAATAATCAACAGATGTTAAACCAAACATCAATTGAACAATGCTACGATGAAACAAAATTCTTAACATTGTTTTTAAATACACTGTAACTCTATTTCCCTGAGATTCATTATTTACAGGGTGGACCAAAAGTCCTTTAACATTTCAAATGATCATAAAAAATAAACATGCTATGTTAATCAACAACTGTTTATTGTATTTTAAAGTATACAAATTAGGGTTTTATTTTTTGAATATAACATCACATAAGTATGAGCCTTATTTATTTTTACACTCTTGTAACCGGGACCAGAAATTTTCCATGACTGCCTGACAAGTGGTTGGTGAAATGTTTTGCATTTCATTGCATATGTTTTCTTTTAATTCTTCAATAGACTCTGGGTTGCTGATGTAAACTTTACTTTTAAGATATTCCCAAAGGAAAAAGTCCATTGGGGACAAATCCAGGCTGCAGGGTGGCCAGTTAATGTCACCTCTTTTGGATATCAGTTTTTGGCTTCAATTCCTGTACAAATTGAATTTTGTACAGATGTAAATGTAGGTCCTTGAGTAGAATGCGATTTAGAGATGTTCTGGGCACATTTAAGACACTAGACCGCTTTCGAGTGGACAGGCAAGGTTGCTCTCAAACACACTCGTACACGCTCTATGTTTTCTGGCTCTCTTGATATCCTGGGTTGGCCGAATTGTGGTTGTGTTAATGTTGAACCCATTGTCTCAAACTTCCATACCCAATTCTTCATTGTTTGAATTGTTGGAGCTTGGTTTACATTCCGTATATTGTAATGAGAACAAAATTTCTGTCTTGCTTCGGTTGCAGAATCGTTGTTTTGATAGTACTCGCAAACACAAAGCGCACGTTGACACTAAATCCCTGTTGGCTGCTCTTGCGTCTGGTACCTTCCCTGCCCCGATACCAGCACCCATGCAGAAGCAGTGGGCTTTTCAAATATTAAGAGACTTTTGGTCCACCCTGTAGTTTGTTCCAGTGGATTATCATTTGGAATATTGGTGATGGTTTAGGATTAAAGATTAGAAAGTATTTAATAGAATTCAACCAGATATAGAAAATTTGTTCAAGAGTTCCAGGAACGTAATTGGTCAAAAATCAAAACATTAAATAAGTTTTCTATATTTAAACACATTTTTCAAAATCATCATTTTGAGCTTTGATATGCTTTCTCCAATTTGGGAGATAATTAGAAAAATTGTCCCATTGTAGCAATTGCTAAAAGATTTGTCTCTATTGATTTCTACTTACTTGAACTATTTTCATAAAGATAATCAAGCTCACATTATAATTAGTTGAGTTATAGTCTAAATAATCTGGCTTTATTATTTGATTATCAAACCATTTTCCTTTCAAAGTTGGAACTGCTAGTTTTCTGTAACCACTTTATTCCCCCAATCTAGACTTGTTTACTCAAAGTTGGAAAAAATATGGTTTGAGTCAATAGAATTGAAACAAGACAAATAAAAAAAAAATTGCAACCCCTGAAAAAAGCCAATTTTTCTAGGTGTTTCTTGAATTGAAGAAAGTATATTGAAGCTTGGATGATTATTTTTAAAATATTAAATAGATTTCTTTATATTCCATTTTGATATTATTTAAATCCATTCCCAAATTTTTTAAATTATACCATACATATACACATGCTTGTTAATTAAGTTAATGAAGCTCTTCAAATATAAATTGAATTTCAACTGTTATCAGCAAAAAAAATTTCAGTAATCATTTTCAGGTTTTATGCTCTGAAAATAATAAAGATTGAGGAGAGACACCAGAATACTAATGTGTGGATTAGAGGTTAATTATAAATGTTTGTTGAGAGTCCAAAACCAGTTGATTGTACTACAGATAACAATCATTGGTTATGCAGACATGTAAATCTCAAGGTTTTGCATAAGATGGAGCAACATTCTACATTGTATGGAGAGAGGGGCACTTAATAGTTTGGTTTTACAATTGGATAATTTTTTATGTATCTGAAGTGTCATCATCAGCTTTTATGTGGCCTGGTGATAAGGCAGTCCTCTTTAGCGATTTTATCTTTTGTTTATTTTGAATAAATGAAATGTATAGAATGTTTATCAATAAAAGCAGTCTTAAAGGTTTTATTTTCTGTTAGTAAAAATAACATAAAGGTTCATATGATGGTTCCTACTCTATAAAATTAAAATTTGTTTCAGGCATAGGAATAAATGCCCAGCATATTAGAATTTGCACTGATTGGTTGAAATCCAGGGAAAAAGTCTTCAAAAGGTTGACTAAAGGTTTATAATTTGACAATAAAGGTTTTTTTATTCTCTCAAAACAGAGAGGATGCAAAATTAAAGTTTGTCTGTAAATAATTACGATTTTTATATTCTATGCAAACTGTTGCACTTTATATTCTTATCATTTATACAGATTTATAATGGCATAAATTAAGAAATTAAACATTGTCAGAAGAAAGCACTAATTCTGTCTGAAATCTCACACCATTATGAATACAATTATTATATTTTAATGTAAAGATAATGTACATATTGTATATTTTTTGATTATTGTAATAATTTAGGTTTTACAAAGTACAAAATTAATATTACAATATTACTGCAAAACATCAATATTAACAGAGAAATATTAATATTAACACTGCTATATTGAATAACAAATTAGATTAGCATCATAATTATCTTCATTAATTTTTATGCATTATAACCAGGAAAAAAGTTACTTAAAATAGTGTGAGACTAGGAATTTTCTAAATATATTCTAAACATTTTAAAAATGGATTCAATATAAAAGTGTCATTTGATTCTCTGGAGTTTATCAGATATTTATGATGATGACAGTATCAAACATAAACAATTACTCAAAATGTAACTTTTTAAGTCCTAATGACAATTTTTTCTCCAAAAATCAGTTCTTGTTCATTCAACTCAGAAATAAGTTTGCAATGTTGCTATTACTATTTATCAACATTGCAATCTTGCAATGTTGATATTGCTTCCCAATAATAGTCATTTTTGTATCTTTCAAAAATGACTATACCTCAAACATTCATTAATACCTTAAGACTTATCTTAGTAGCAGCATTCAGTTTTATCAGACATACTCAATATAGCTTTGTGCTTTAGCTAATTAATTATTAGTTAATTGCTGATGATGTTGTAGTGCTGCGTCACTATACTTTTGTTTTAAGTATTTGTATGTTATACCCTTTGTGTATTAAGTTTCATTATTCTGTGCCTGAAATTGTAATTGTGTAATTGATATTTTATTAATTTTCGTTCTGTCTGAACCGCCTTTTTTTTTTTGGTGGCACTGCCGCCATGTAACAATTGGCTGTGCGGTGATCACGTGAAGAGGGTGATGTAGAATGATGGCGGGACGTATAAATTGTTGTCTCACGTGTGAAAGAACTACCTTTTTTCCTAACTGGGACTTGGGTCAGATGTGCAGAGGTGCGTTGGAGTGCAGAGTGAAATGGAAGAAGGCAAGGACTTGATTTGGTTTTGGACAAAGGGACAGAGAATCGTCTTCTCTGAGCTAATTGAGGAGCCACGTGGAGGAATTTATTGTGAGTGGACTCTGGAATACAAGGTGGAACTTTCGTTCTCGTACTAAGGGAATTCAACGAGGGACCTGCATCTGTAAAAATAATTGTAAAATTTTTTTCTTTCGATTATATCCACAAGGGTAGAAGATACTAATTGTTGCGAGTGTTGCTACTTGTACCGAGTGGTAGTTAGTGAATGTTTAGTTATATTGTCAATCATTAAAACCTTTTTTCAAAAATTGAAACCCAAGTTGTTGTTCATGTAAAGTCCTCACGCACTTTTTTTTTATCCAACTGATCATCTGGAGTATTTTCGATACCCCTTGGACACTACAATGTAAATTAAAATTTGTACTTTGCATAGTATAATTACTAGTGAAAGCCTAATGCCAAAAATTATAGTTAATTTCTCATAAATACACTTTTTTCAAAATATTGACACTAATCAAAATCTTTATACGTAATGCTAATTTTAGCAAAATATTTCATCTGTTCTTTCAACATTTTTAATGCAAATACATTTCTTTGAATATGCTTGGGCCCTTTATATCTAAATACTGTATACTATTACCTGTATTGTAATGAACACCACAAAAGCAAAATCTATTGACAAATTTTCTAGCTAATTAATAAATGTTTAATTCTATCTGTACACAATCTGTACATTTTTAAAATTCAGTTTGTTTAGAATCAGATAAAATATCCTTATAAAGTTGGAAAATTATTTCTTTAATTTTATAGTGTAATAAGTACCATTCTAATAGTGGCAATTGGCATAAGCCTCTCTAACTGGAAATGACCAAATAGCATTTAGAACTGCTATCTACTGGGTTGCTACAAGTTGATATCAACTAGATGGTACAACAATAACTTATTACACTCATAAAATTATAAAATAATGTAAAATTAAACCTTATGCATTGTGTATATATTTAAATATTGTAAATTTTACTTACTTTCCTGCCGTAATATGAAAATTACCAGCAACTTTGTTTACTATTAATGTGCCATACAAACGACAGGCATCAAAATCTCCAGTAGCAGGTATCTCCCTATTAATGAATATTTACATCAATAAAATTATATTTTGAATATTTCATTCTCAACATTTATAAATTATTTATAATCATGTAATAAATTCAAAATTAAAGCAATTGTTTACATGTAGAAAATTTTCCTTGAGACAAAAAAAATTTCAAATAAATCAACAATTTCTTATCTACATAAATTGTTAGAAAAATCAATGATTACATTAGGAATGCTAAATTTAATAAATCAAAAGAATATGCATGCATATCAAATATCAAGAAATTTCAAGCTGTTGTATTTTTATGCTTCAATTCAATTCAATTGCTAAATAATTTTGCATTAACAGTTAGCAGAATGTTGTCATTTTATAATAAATTTAATAACTTAATTTTAATTGAAAGGAAAAGCTTAATCAAAGTAATGTAAACTAACAGCTATATTCTGAGCAGGTTGTACTACCAATTATAATAGCTGAACTTCTATTCTAATCTTTGCTTCTAGACATAAATGAAATTTAGAATCAGAATACAACATTAAAGATCAGCTTGTCTTACAAACTGGGGATAGTACTGTATATCTCAATAATCTCAAGATATTTTAGATGCAATTGTAATGCGTTTCAATATAGAATGTGAGCTATCTCTATAGAAATGGTTATCAACAGCAGGGACACAGCTCTTATGTCACATGCCTGGAGAGCAGTATTCGAATACATTTAGCAACCATGTAGAGTTTTATAAACAGTTTGGTCTTAGTACATTTATTGTTTTTTATGACTTTTTGTTAGCTATAGTTATTTAAATTTTTTGTATATGTTATATTTTTCTTCTGTACTCGTTTTAATTTATATTATATTAATATACTCCTGTGCATGTGAACTTCTTATGCAATGAACATTTTAAAATTTATCTGGTGGTTCAATTTTGCATTCTACTGGTAGAACCTGAGGATGGCCTTTATAAAGGTTGAAAACATTTGTTTTTCAATAAATGTTTTTGTTCTTTTAAGTGGATTATGATTTTGAAGTGTTCTTATGTTATTATTTGATTTAAATAAACAAGATGTGCATGTATAATTTATATTACCTTGCAGGAAGTCCTCGTAAAAGATTTGTATATCCTTCTTTCCAAAGTAAATCTTGAATAGCATGATGTTGTTCTCTAATATAGATATTTATTCTCTGCATTGTCAACCAGTGAGCCCTTTGTTGAGGTGTTAATTCAAAATGTGTTGGGTGTTCTTCTAATTTACCAAAAGCTTGAACATTGTTTTCATTAGTTACATCTAAAATATCAGCACCTATTGCTATAAAAATAAAATTAAAAATAAATTGTTATATCCAACATATGTTAATATTTAAAAGCTTTCTGTAATGTTTGTTTTTATAGATCTGTTTCTATTCAATAGCTGAGTAAAAATGCTTTAATGAAGTTGCTTCCTTAATTTTGAAAATAGACAAAATCACTAGGCTTTGTTTGACCTACTTTGGACAAGAGATGCATGTTAATTTGCTTGAAAAAGATGTCATGCTGAGACTGGTCCAACAACTAGTTTAGCACTCTGGCAAATGACTTGCTAACTTGACACCATCGAGACTAGTATTGGCACAAGTGAGCTAAAATAGTTGGCATAGGATGGAGAACATTAGCTTTTGAAATCTCCAAGTGTTGAATATAACCAAATGGATGCATACATACTTTAAAACCTACACAGATAAATGTTATAAAGAGAAGCATGCTTGTTCCAGAAAGCCTTTCAAAAGACATACACCACGATTAAGTTAGAACTGGATATAATACAAAATAATGACATAGAAACCACTAAAATTCAGCAACAACTCATTTTATTGAAATAAAATAAACATTTTAGATATCTTTAAAATGTCATCCTCAGGTTTAAGTATAGAACAGAATATAAAATGGAAAATAGAATACAGTTTGAAAATTAAAGAACATTACCTGACTGGATATAACATAATACATCATATACATATGAGAAAGAATTTTAAAGTACAATATAATAAAAAAAAATTCTATAATCCCAAATTTTTATCTAACTTATGGTAAAAAACAAAAATTGATGCCATTTATCTCAAACTTACAGTATAATTGCAGCAGCTGCTATTATCTTTAATAGTTAAAATTAAAATAATGAATTTTCTATAAAAGAATCTTTAATATTTGAATTTAAATTAATATTTTAATTCATTCATATTTTTATTTATTTCTTATGAAATTTGAAAAATGAAAATGTGTTCATACACAAATTAAGAGAATTTAATAAAATTCTAAATGAATGCCATATTAGATAGGGCTTTACCTCGTATTTCTGCTATTATTAATAATTAAATGATAAGTAATATTTGTTTGGCTTTGATATAATTACCAGGCTTACAGATGTTTATATTTGTATATACAGTAGAATTTTACACATAAATTATAATCCTGAACATTTCATATGGGATTTAATATTGATATTTGCCAAGAATTGCCACACCAGACTTAGCCATATGTTTGGGCTTGCTGTTATCATGAATTGGACAGTAACTGTACTATTGTTTTTCTTGCTGTTTGCAACAGATTGAATTACAATACTTTAAAAATTTGTAGTTAGAAAAGCCAATTGTTTAGTTTTATGACCATGTCAGTTAATTAAGAAGTGCACCATATTCAAGATGCACTATGCCTTCTTACTGACAAAAACAATGATTATATCACCTCTAAAATATAATCATTATTTCAAATTTCATAACCATGCTTTAAGTTGTAATCTTGAAAGAGATTTCTATTGAAATGAATACCACTTTAGCTAGAATTTTACCCATATATTTTATCATCAATAATTATGTTTTTTAAAGAATTGATTGTTTATATTTTGACAAATTGGCTGTTGACAGACATTTATCTTCTACTCCGCAATCAGATTCTACTGTACTAAAGAAACTTTCCTGAGATATTTTACAAGAACAAAATTATTTAATACATTTCTCTTTCATTAACAAATCCTCTTTTATCAATTCTTACCAAAAGATATGTACAGTATTTTCTAGCATTTCTGCCAATTAATAACTATAAATCCTAAAAGATGCCAAGGATGTTCACTTTCCTTTAAAGTTTGTCTTTCCTCAAATTAGTTAATTATTCAGAAATTTATACATTTCATAAAATCTTTTCTATAAAAAAATGTTATCATCTTTTACATTTTACTATTCATTTTTCCATATTTCTGGAAAAATTTTAACATATACAAGAATTGTCTAGAGCAATGGTTCCCAATTAGTGGTACATGTACCCCTGGGGGTATGTGAAATTGCGTGAAGGGGTATGCGCGGCAATCTAAAATTGGTCGATTTAAAATTTAAATGCATGAGATGAAGCAATCAAAAAAATAATGGGTGGACCATCAAAAATTTGGCAATTTACAACACGATGTTGAATGCACAAATTCTTTTATTTATAACTAAAAATCGAAATCGAAATTTCATCAAAAAAATGCATTTGTGACAATACCTAAATGAAATTCTTATGCAAGAAACAAAAATTGTACAATTAACACAATTTGTGTTAATTGTACAATTATCAATATTATCGTGTCAGCAAAGCAGCAATAAAATATTTACTACCATTTTGCACAACACACTTCTGCGAGAGCGGATTTTTGGCCATGACAAACACGAAAACTAAACATTGTCACTGACTTCGACTCGAAGATGACTCGAGACTGAAGATGACCAAAAAGCAACCAGATTTTACAAAGTTGTGCAAAGAAAATCGCACACATTTGTCACATTAAAATTAAATAACCTTATGTTACTTTCATTATTATAAGAATTGTATTTTAAAGGTATTAAATGTAAAAAAAACTTATTCTATTTATCACTAGCTGTCTACCCACAGCTTCGCCTGCATTATATCGAATTTTCTTGTGGGTGTAAGATATTTTCTCGCAGTAAAATGTAGACCATGTCCATCTCCAATGTGTAAGCTATCTCTGTGCCAAATTTTGTTAAAACCTGTTTGGAGGTTTAGACGTGAAAAAGTAACAGACAGACACATAGACAGACAGAATTACCTTCAAATTTATAATATTAGTGTGGATTAATATGAATTTCTGCTATAAGGGGTACACGATTTTGAGCTCCTTCTTGAAGTGGTACGCAGGAAAAACTAATTGGGAACCACTGGTCTAGAGCTTTCAGGTTCAATATTAGTAACACAATGGATGACCTAAACACTGATGAATGCATGTGTGAAAGGTGTGAAACATGTTACAAATAAGATAAGGTGAAGAATACTAATTGAATTTCATTTATTAATTGAATAGAGGGGATAGATTTTAGTTTGCCCATTATAGAGAACCAAAAATATATTTACACTAATTCTCCATTCTTGCTCGATCTTCCCGTGAAAACTATTTATAAGACAATTAAGCTTAAAACTAAGACTATCACTACTTAGGAACTAGATAGAGAGAGAAGAATGGCTAGAGAGTATACCGGTAGCTTAGATTGGAGTTCTGATAATGAAATAACATGGACAACATCGCTGTATGGATGGTAAATGCTCAATCTGTTTACATCTGGGATAATGATAACCTGTTATCATTAAATATTGTTGAGGAAGGTTTGCTTGGGTTTGGACGAAAGGGCTCACTTACTTAGTTCTGCACGATTATACCACTTAGCTTGATGTCACTGTTCACATGTGGTTTACACTGTCTATCTCTGCTTTCCTAGCCTTCTAGGCCNATGATAACCTGTTATCATTAAATATTGTTGAGGAAGGTTTGCTTGGGTTTGGACGAAAGGGCTCACTTACTTAGTTCTGCACGATTATACCACTTAGCTTGATGTCACTGTTCACATGTGGTTTACACTGTCTATCTCTGCTTTCCTATCCTTCTAGGCCTCAGAGTCCTGGTCACTTCTCAACACACTCAGCCTCCCTCATTAAACCTCTTCTTTTATCAGTGACAAACTCAAAACTGACTCTTCTTAATACCCATTCTCCTGGTCCCCCTTGTGCAAGACCCTTTTTTTTTTTTTTTTCGGTATTCCAGCAAATTAGGACCCATGAATGGCAAGGCTCGTGTCGTGTGACAGGTATGGGTTGAAGACAGAAGGAAGAAGAATTACAGGAAGGAAGAAACGGAGTTCCTATGCTATAGCCTACAGTATACAACTATATACAAAAAAAACATGTTGGACAGCCACACATGAACACATACTAGTGTAGATAATTTTTATTTGTTGTTATGTTGTATGCTCTTTCAAATCTTTTGGAGAAATAAAATTGATCCAGATATTTTTGACTAGCTATTATATACTTAGAAACAGAATTAGATTAAAGGAATGAAAAAAAGGCTGTTAGTTGTTGGCAAAGAAAATATTAGAAACATAAAACATTTATACTAAATATAAATTATTGAATAAATCCTATTACTTTGCATGTATAGTAGAATCCATTTATTATAATCATTTTTAAACTCATCGAAACTGATAATAACTGACTGATAACATTAAGATAGCAATTACTGAAAATTTGATGGTTTCCAGTTGATTTCAAATGCCATATAAACTTGACATCATGTCAAGTTTATATGTTTTATACACAATGGCATCACTTGTTTACAACTGATGCCATTTGAAAATGGTGAAATGATATTTTTACAAGAGATTGACTCTGATAAGGAATGAGTTTTATAAAAAAAAAAATTTTAAATGCTAATAACAAGTAAAATCTTCATTAATCTTCATGGCCTCACTTGAGATATGACACATGACTCACCTCTATCTTCTCATTTCTAGACTCTTACCTAACAAAATTTAATAGACTCAATGCTCCTAACACACAAACCTCCCTGCAAAATTTCAGAAATTTTTGACAAAAGGCACAGGAGTTATTAAGTTCAAAGTTGGTGAACAAAACTGTGCTCCATACACACACACATCCATATATAGTCAGAAAAAAACCCAACTTTTTATTTTGCATTTCTCAATGTTTCAAGGTCATTAATCCAAAATTGTAAAAATCTAGGTAGGTTGTTTTTTTTACCAATCACCATACTCTCCTCTGTTATATCTAACAGCAATGAAAGTAATTAAGTAACTTTAAGATTTATTAATTTATAATTATTAAATTAAACAGGATGAATTACAAAATTATTAATTAATTTTGTAATTCATCCTGTTACAGTCTTCAAAAATGAGAAGGGTATAATTGAAGAAATGACAAAAAAATGAAACTAATGTATTCTGAGCAAATAATGACTAAAAGATAAATGTGTAATCTTTTAAGTATTGGTTTAAAACTGATCATGATTATTTGCTGATTAACCATATGCACAAAAAAACAGCTTAAAAATGTCTATTTACCTGTAAGAAAACAATAACACTAACCAATTTCTAATTACAATGAGAAAAGTTTTTATATTGTATTTTGATTTATATGTTTTGGGATATGTTAATTTTGATATGGTAACTGATAACAATATCCATTATTATAATAAGCAGAGTCTATTTGTAAACTGATTACTTATTTAAAAAATTAAATGATCAATAATAAAATTATATAGTTGTCCTTTAATTATGTGTACAGTTTAAGAGAGGTATGACAAAAAATACTTTGAGATAGAGGAAGTTAATGCATTGTACACTTTGGGCATTTTTAGTGGTATTAGTAACATACAAATTTTTTGTTCTTACAAGCCCATTTACTAGTTATGTGAATAAACTATCAGAAAATATTCAATACTTTTTAGTCATTTCTTCAAAGTCAGGGAATTCATGAAATATTGTACACATAATTAATGGACAGTGCCATTATTTCAAATGTAAAATAAATAAAACAGCAATTATTACTTTTTTAATGAATACTTACTGTCACATGGCATTGCTACTGTTATGTCTACATTAATTTTTAATTTGCTGCAAATTGAAAATAAACTATTATTAAACAAATCATTGTCAAGTTTAAAACAAAATAAATTTTAAAATAAAAAATAAATATATTTTAAAACTTTTTAAACTAATATAAAAAAGTTTAATTAAAATTTATTTTATTCCAAAAATTCATTATTAACATTTAGTTTTTGGAAAATTTAAACTTTTAAAATTTTAATTAAATTTAAACTAATTAAGTATTTTAAAAGAAATTTCAATTTGTTTAGTAATAATTCATTTAATATTTGTATTCATATTTATTTAAATATATAATAATACTTCTTTCCAAGTATGCTACAAAAATTCTTTATTTTGAATTTGGGTTCAAATATTTTGATTTGAGCTTGGCTAGACCAAGGTCTACAAGGCTACAACAAACAAACAGTCGGCTTACAAAATATACCTTTATTTATAACAGTTTTTGTGTTCAGCAATTGAGGGCTCGTGAACTCCCCAAGAAAAAAAAAAAATCCTTTCAACAATCACGTGTCCCAAATACAAATAAACCTTGTACCTTCACTCTCCTTCTCCCTTCCTTAACGCGTAACAAGGTTTGCACTAGTTTACTATAACACGTAAAGTATAATGAGAACAGCCTACTCACTGAAATCCGGCACTTAAACAATAAAGCATCTGACTGACAGCTATCGCATGTGGAGACAAAAATAATTGCTTGAGTCGATATCTCAGATACTCTAACTTCCTTATTGTTTCTATCCACTCAATTATTTCCTCATACACCATGAATGGAATTGGATTCTATTCCCCTTCTCTCATTGGCTGAAACGGGTCTTTGTTTCTTACCCTGGTTATTTTTGATATCCCTCGATGGCGCCAATCCTAACTAGACTCACAAAGGGAACTCCACAAAAAAAAGGTCCTCTTTCACACGTGGACCTGCTATTTATATCCATTCTTGCTGCCTCCATGTGACCTCTTGGTGTGTGTAAACGGACCTTTTGATTGGTTCTTGGGTAACCAATCAAAAGGTCCGTTTACACACACCACAAAAAGGAGGTACGGCGTGAGAAGGACACGTGTCAACAAGGACAACAAAACAAACAGAGGAAAAAAAGGAAAACACGATATAGTAATGAACATAATAAAATTAACGCGAACTAAGTACAAAGGATAATTATACAGTAGAACCCCTCTAATCCGTCACCTTTGGGACTGGGGGTATGGTCGGAACGCAAAAAAGGTCGGATTATCAGAAAAAAGTAAAATAAACAATCTTCCCCTTTGTTCAGTCTTTGTAGCACTACTAATTTTTCATTTAATGAAAGAGTAATGTGTTTACGTTTCACTCCTGACATGTTGAAAACACACGCAAAACTGTACATGTACACACAATGTAAAACATATACTGTAACGAACACAGAAAAATGCCATGAATGGTGAGTCACCGACGAGTCGGGACAAGTTTCTCGACTCCGACCACGGTCGGATTAACCGGAGTGACGGACTAGCCGAGGGCGGACTACAGGGGTTCTACTGTATATACAAATAATATGCACACATATTTTATTTACTAAACAACCATAAATAAGTGGTGGAGCACTACAATTTTAAATCATATTGAAAGAATTTTGCTTCTTGTCCCTCACCAAATAGCTATCCTTACTGTGGACTGGACCATAATGGATATAATTAAAAGGGCCTTCTTAGTGTCTTCAGAGTAGAATGAGTTTAAAAAAATTTACATATTGTTACATATGGCAATAACAATATTAATTTTAGGTTAATAGCATCAAGGATTCTTAAAATATATATAAGTATGCATTTTTAATCTAACAAAAGTGAAACACTGATGAGGCTAACAAGCGAAATATATATGGATAAAAAAATGGATAAAAATAGAAAAATAAAGTAAGAAATAGTGAAAGTGATTTTCTGGTCTTTCTCTGTTTTTTAAAACTTTATCGAAGTCGGATTTAAAAAGTGAATCTCACTTGTATTTCTTAAAGCTTTTTTTAAAAGAAAAATTTTTTAGAATTTATTAATTTTACTAAAAGTGAAACATCTTTTTATGTTCATTTATGAACACTTTTATACAAAGTAGTTGGGTGGCCAAGTGCAAAGGCTGCAGCTGGGAGACTGGAATCAAATCCTGATGAGTCAAAAAAACCCCAGGAATTTTACTAGGGTTCCATCCCTCACAACCCAGGCCTGTTCTTTTTAGCAAACCAATTATGGGCTTGCTATAAAGTCTTTGTGTCCACAGGGTGGAAAGAGTTAAAAAAAAAAGGTGTCATTGTTGAGTGTTTACTCAACAATGACACCTTTTTTTCTAGTTTTATGTTATTTTAATTTAAAAAGGAAAAATATTGTGTTACCATAATGAATTTTGCTAGTTTCTCCAATTGTGGAAAATGATGTTGGATATTGTTTAAACCTTTTCATATATATTATGAAAGATTATGTATATACTGTACACAGATTTTCTATACATATATATTTAATAATGTTGATCTGCTATATGGAAAGGTTGACAAATAACTATGCCCAAATGAAGTTAGTTGTACAGAAAAAATTGAGGATATACGGAATATATATAAGGAAAACTTGCAGAATATTGATAATAATTCATGAAAATAGAAAAATTGCCTAATGAAATATGATGATAGTTTGTAAATAGATTACAAGATCTATTTGGATTTTATACAGAAAATAAGAAAGTGACTCTATTTTTGAAACATTAGTGGATCACATTATAATGAATTGCTTTCAGAAGCTTGACCCAGTGATAAGAGAATATATCCTCCAACAAGAAGAAGATAGATTACTACCTCTATTAATGCTAGCCAGGTTCACTGAGAAATTCAAAGAGACAAACTGACAGTCAGATCATCCAAATCTTAAATGATCTAAGATGACCTAGGTCACCCGTAACTAAAAAATACAGAGGAGCATAAGCATTCACACAATGGATATGTTTTTATTGTAACTCCCTATAATATTGCTAAAGATTGTCCCCAGTTCTCCATAGGAATCAACATTTCAAGTGTCAGTCAAGTGAATCCAGTTCGAGTAATCCTAGTAAACCAGTAAAGCAAGAGAAAACATGAAACAATTGTATGTTTTGGAATGTTCTGCAGGAAGCATAAAGTCTGTTTTAAAATTTAATCTTGCAATTGGATTCAAGATAAGAAATAGAATAGAATCTTGAGTCAGAGTTTGAAAAAGAATTTGAATCAAAGAGTTAGAGAGCATTGAATTTAATTTAAAGTATGAGGGCGTTTTTTTTTTTCAAATTTTGATGGTCCATAAAACAAAGACAAGTGTAAATAACGAAATGAATTTATTACCAAAAGTTAGGTACAAACATGGTTACTTTTCGACATAATCACTATGAAGATTGAGGCATTTATTATATCTGTGGATGAGCTTTTCCATCCCCTTGTCATAGAATGTTGCCGCCAGTGAATTGAGATGGCCTTAACAACATTGTTTTGAAGATCATCATTAGTCTCAAACCTCTTCCCTGCTAGCCATGTTTTCAGTTCAGGAAAGAGGTGGAAGTCTTCACACATTAAAAAGTTCCAAGCTGGGTGGAAGTCTTCACCACCTTTAAATACGCAGCATATAGCCCCAATTTAGCGCCGAGTGACTTCCACTTCTTTCCTGAACAGAAAAAGTGGCTAGGAGGGAGAGGTTCAAGACTAATGACATTCTTCAAAACAATGTTAGGGCACATCTCAAGTAATTGGCGGTAACATTCTATGAAGAGGGGATAGAAAAGCTCATCCACAGATATGACAAATGCTTCAATCCTCATGGTGATTATGTCGAAAAGTAACCATGTTTGTACCTAACTTTTGGTAATAAATTCATTTTGTTATTTACACTTGTCTTTTTTTTATGTACCATTGGAGCTTGAAAAAAACAGCCTACATATTTTTTTATGATGAATATATAATTTCTGAATGTCACGCTAGGATTTTAGTTTGTTTTTTAGTGCCTATGGTATAAACTGTTTATGACTTGATGTCTTCTTGTTTTTATATAATTAACTTTTATGAAGTTTTAAAAGAACCCATTAATGTTCTTCAGAAACAGAAAATAAAGAAAATAACCTGGAGAAGAATATTTGAATTTAATTATTTTCATTTAGAGACTAAAATAATCATTTATTAAATTCTTATATTTATTATTAGCATTTTTGTGTTTTAACTGTTTTAATTTAATATTTATTGAATTGTTAACAGCTGTTTACATGTTTTTATAGCAGTGTTATGAATGTGAATTATTATTCCCACCATTACATATATTTTCAGAAACTTAATTTTTAAACTTTTTATTGCCACATATTTTTGAATAAATTTAGTTATTCTTTAAAACAATAATTAAATTCTGAACAAAATAGGGATTAGCTTTTCATCTTTAAGATTAATTGCAAATTAGTTTGAACACTTAGCAATAAAAAATTATTTAATTTTTTAAAACTCTTTCTGCCCTAAGAGCATTGCAAGAGCCTTTTTTTTACAAGTTCATTATGGGTTCAGTCAGATCCACAATGAGAAACTGGGTTCTGAAGGATGGGGTCCAACATACTGGATGGACCACCTCCTGAAAAATTCCTGGGGTTTATTGGCCTATCCAATTCAATCCCAGCTAAGAATAATAAACTGTTAAGCAGCTAAGGCTGTCACCATAGCTGCTTGGCCATCAAAATGTCTATGTAATTTTTTGTGTAATTTAATTTAATTTAATTAAAAGTTAAAAATTGCCTAAGAAATATTGAATAAAAGTTTTAAAATTTTTACTTACCTATCAAAATCTGTATCTACACCATATTGAAATTTGAACTGTGTCTCAGAATAATATTTGATCTCTGATATAACTAATATAATAATCAAGATATAACTTAAAATAGATACTGAAAAAAAAAAAAATTACAAATTTTAATAAACTGAAAAAATTTCAAGTTNAATAATAATTATAAGAAAAAAGCTGTTATCTATTGTTCCTAGATTTTAAAGAAAATTTGAGTAATACGAGCATTACAAGTATTTCTGCAGAAGGCAGTATAATTTCACAATCAATTAAAATGTTAATGCAACCCAATATTGGGTTGCAACTCATAATTTGAGAAATGCAGGTCTAGCAGACTTTCTGTGCATAGCAGTTACAGTCTAATATTCTCAAATACTGACAGATATCTTGGAAGAAATGAATTTGGTCTTTGGTCCAAAATCTTTTATATCAAAGTCTATAAAATCAAGAGTCAACAATGTAATGTGGTCATAAATTATAATCCGTCAAAGGAAATCAAATATCAAATTTTTCTTTATTCTTGTCATAGTGCTTTCTTCTTTTGTTGTAAATAATACAATACAAAAAAATGAGACCTTGCTCAAATTTTAAATTCATAATAATTATGTTTATATCTCATTTACACAACAAGAAAAATGATCAAATATAACCAAAGTGATATATTTTCTCCAAAAATATACAATGGGCACAATTTGAAAAACCAGTCTAGTTTAGTAACATTGTTATTAGTCTATAAAATTTCTTTCTAAACAGGTTTTGTAATTGTTTTAGTTATATAACCAGAATTATATTTCTAACTGTAAAAATATTTAATAAATAATATGAATAAAAATAAGCCCTTAGTTACCAGACATCTCCAATTTCCAGGGACTGTCCCTATTTCTGCCTGTTCTTAATATTTAATTGTAGAATCAATCTTTGAATGGAGCAATTTTGTGTGGTGCATATCTGTATATAATGATAGATTATTTGAAAAGGACTGATGATTACATAAAAATTAAAATTTTCTTATAACTTCTGTAATAATACAATTTATAAATTATAAAAAATATTGCAATAACAATGCATTAAATAGACAGTCTTTTGGCTTTAATAGCTTTTATTCAAACATGCAAGTACTTTCAACAATGTATTATTGTTTAAGTCAGGAAATAAATTTTAAAAAATTCTTGCTTGATGAATATGATAATACATTATTGAAAGTACTTGAATGATTAAATAAAAGCTATTAATGCCAAAAACAGTCTATTTAATGGGTTTTTTAAATTTTTGGCATGAAGTTTAAGTAAAAACTTTACTAAAATGTTGCAATGGATTATGTAAATTAAATAATTACCATTTTGTTTTCAATTAATCAATAAATCTTAGGAGTAATATCCAACCAACAACACAACTTGATACTATCAATTTTTATCTCACAATATCACAGTCATACTGCACAGCCAGCAATAAATGCTTGTTGAATTCTCCTCATTGCATACCCACTAGGTCTAAACAATATTTAGATTAGATGACATACAGATAAGAGGAAATCAAACATGTTTATGGTTGGATGTATGATAATGATTATTTTAAAATAAAACTGATGACACACTATGCTAATATCAATGGATATTATTACTGAGATTAAGTAATTATTTATTTATTTTAATTTATAAATCTACATATAAGGAAGTATTCATTAACTATGTGTTTTGTTAAGTGAGGAGGCCACAAAAAGTACATCATTATACACAATAGGGAAGAGCTGAGGCATTGTCTATATGGACTTTTTTTAAGATTAGTGGCATTTTAGTCTGTTCTTAGAAGCCTACTTATTAGCCATAAACTGTCAGTGAAAAAATATTTGCAGAACTTCTTAAGTCATTTCTTCACTGTCAGGAAATCCTTGAAGTATTATACATGTAATTAGAGGGGAGGAGGTTTGCCAAAAGTATACTCTATCAGGAAATAAAGAGCTCCATTTTCAGACACAAATAGGGAGATTTTATGTCCTGATTTAACAATAAGTTTTTTTATTAAAACAATAGAAAATACTAAAGTCGAGGGAAATGTGGCTAGAGAGGAGTCGTATTTAGTCATGAAACTGACCTCTCCCATGACCTACGATCAGTTTCGAATTGTCACCAGGTGATGAGTAAAGACCAATGAAAAGGCAGCTTCAGGGGCAAAACTTATAAAACCGCGTGAATCAAGGACGTGATGTTCTTGGTTCATAGTGTTCCTCTTCTGGATTTTTGTTATCCAGCCATTCTCCCATGAGAACTTGTTGGACATTCGGGGACTTGTCTTTGCTCTCCCATGCCGTCAAGATCAGCAAGATCCACCTTCTCGCAGGAGGACATCTCTCCAAGTCGTGCTGTGCGTCCCGGGGCCATCACTCTTCACACCACCATTGCCGGAAGAAGAAAACGACAGTCAGAACAATTGGACTTTTTGTACTTGAACTTTTGAACTTGAACATTTGGACTTGTTTCCCACATTTGGAGTGGTGTTACGCCTCATTAAGGATTTGTTGTAAGAGAAGTTTTTAATATTTATTAAATGGTTGATGATGGAAAACCTGCCTCAGTGAGTCATTCCACATCCACATGAGAGTGTTGACCACTTGACTGTCCTTACATTTTTCACCCTACTCGGCTAACCTCACACAATAATGCTAAATATCTATCTATTGCATTACAAAATGTCATGTCTACAAAACAAACTTTATGTAAGATATGATAAGGAACACAAACAGTTTATATTGTGGTAAATATGAAGGAAACAAACACCATACACCCAAGCAAAGATGTAAGCAATAACTCCGAACATACACATACAACCAGTGGCGTACCGTGGGTGTCAGCTGCCCGGGGCGGAGGAAAATTTCGGCCTCCTTATTTAGGTATTTCAATTTAAAAGACCAAAATTCAGTTTTGTCACAGAACAAGCAATGGAAAATTCGGTGGTAGTGCAGCGATCTGTTTAAAATAGTTCTATTGGATATTAGTGGTGTATATGAATGCGAATGAATCATACAAGCAAAAAATAAAAAATAAAAGGTCAACAGGTTTCGCAGGATTTCCTCGGATGAAAAAATTACTAGTTCACCCCGACGGCGAGCCGATTCCCGGACTGTCCGGACGATAGCACTATCGTAGGCGCGATGCAAGTATAGATTAGGATGTTTCAAATTTTTACAAGATATTATTATTATTTATTGTGAAATTTTGCCGCCCC